GGGGGGGGGGGGGGGGGGGGGGGGGGGGGGGGGGGAAGAAAAGAAAACTAATTATTAAAGCGCCGCTAGGAAACAGCAGGTTTACATTTAACTGCTCAAGTGATGCGGTCACATCCTATCGGTGGACATCCTCCCAGAAAGCACGGCAGTCCCTGCCCGCTGCTGGATCCCAAATGACAATTGGGCAGCATATCTTATGCAGAAGTTAATCACAATAATGGAGCACAAAGTGTGGCTTAGCAGTCAGATCGTAAATGACAAATCTGTTTTACCTTCCAGTACCAGTTATGTGTGGAAGGCGAGCTTGGCTCTCGCTCTGAGCGATCATGCCGATAATCATTAGATGACAAAAGTAATGAGTCACATTATGATCAACAAAGGAGAATGGAGCTTATATGGCTTTGCAGGCTCACATTAAAAAAATAGACAGTCAGCTTTCCACAAATGCTGGAGTTATACATTGAGAGGAATGACAACTGCACAATAAAACTGCAGCCTTTACTTGCAGTTGTCATAGTTCAGCAGACACCAGCCATCGCTGCTGACAGACCAGCTGGGTAGCTTGGGAGGCCTTCCATTCTGCACCGTGAGGTACAGTAAATTATCCAGCACGGTAGAGCAACATCTGTTTCTGTGCTTGTGCCGAACAAACAAGGCAATTTAAAGCATACCAAGGGATAACCAAGCAGCAAATGAACATGACCCTCATTTTTTTCCCCCCTTCTTACACACATGAGATGCTAAACTTCACTGTGCGAGCGCTACATAAAGAAGCCAGGCTGTTGTTTGATAAGGTGTTGTCAGAGAGATTTTACATATTTTCTGGGGGGTGGGGGGTGGGGGGGAGAGGGAGATATATCTCTCTCATAGTATTGTTATTCTTAGAATCCTCCCACTTCTCTCTTCGTTTCTCTTATACTAAAGCTAGCACTCAGCTTCCAATTCATTCTAGATTTTTTTAAAAAACTGTTTCAATATACTTATAAATATTCAGTCTTTAAACCCTAATTTGCTATACTTAGTTCACATGCCTTCAAGCATTTGTCTTCCAATTTCCACTGAATAAATGCGTACTAATGAGAAATAGAGCAAGCTGCTGAGGCAAAGCTGGGTGACTTGAGCCTGGCCTGCCACCAGCTTGTGATAGGCAGGCAAATTGAGTTAAAATGAAAAGTCTTGTCAGCTGAAATACAACATGGTAGCCAAACAGCAAGCTGTCAATCATCCAGCCAAAACAAGGGACTGCAGGTAATAAAAGGTCATTGCGAATCATAAGTGCATTTGGCTTTCGTAGGCAAGTTAATTTTAATTAAACATGATCTCTATCTGTAAATGTTTTATAAAACTTATTGTGCATAATGGATTGTTAATTTTACACTAACACATAGCAGGTAATAGGGTACTATAATTATTAGAGTGTATTGTAGGAAAATAGCTATCGAGTATGCAAATATTTGGGGGGGGGTCATTTACCCACAGGCATCACGGTGTGCCAACACAAACGATAATCTGAAACAAGTACATTTGCATCTTACTAAGAACTAAATGGTACTGCCCAGCCCGTTCCAGGAAAATATATTCATTTCCCTCAATCCAACCAACGATTTTAATGTTTAGCATTTGTGTTACGACTACACACTCTGTATTAGCTGTTTTTGGGTTCCTACCCTTTCTCGTGTACAAAACAATTTTTCAAGCTGTGCTCTTTTCGCAGGAAATATCTGGGATTCAGCAATGACCTGGGGCAAGAATACTTCACCATATAAATGAATGGACTAATATTAAACAAACGAACTGACTGAACATGCCTAGCATTAAACATGCACTAAGTATATCTCTGCTTTACCCTTTGCATTTCTACTATAACCATAAAAACTGACAGACCATTCTCGTGTGTCGTTTACCATATTAGAGCTCTGTTGTAAAGCCATAACGACTACTAATGTGTGTTACTCTGCACACACAAATATGCGTTTTTGGGTTTCGGGGAAAAGTCTTACATAGATAAAACAAAGTGTGTTGCCCCAGAAATGCCATCAGAAAAAAATAATCGGGGCCAATATTTGCTAGTTTTGCTGTGGGGCAAAAGCTTTTTTTCTTTTTTTTAATAAAAAAATCACATACCTGGGCTTTGAATTTAGAAGCAAATCAGGCCATGTTGTTCCCTAAACCCAAAGAATCTGACCATAACAACATTGCTTCCTGAGAAAGGTTTTTTAGCAATTCTTGCTTGTTCTCTGTAGCATGAGGAATCCAAAAAAAGTCTCTTGTTATAGTAGGCCAAAATGAGGACGGAGAATCAGAGTGCTTAAAACAGGAGAATGAGATGACAAGGTGATGAACATACAAGAATCCCACCTGGTCTGCCTTAGTCAAGAGTAGAGACACAAATACCCGTTTCCTACACTCTAGGTTGACACAAGGGGAGTGGGAAGAGGAAAAGCTCAGTCTTGGAGGTTGGGATCAGTGAGCTGCAAGGACAAAGGCAGTGCTGGTCCACCGTCTTCCTGTGACATGGGGATTTTTGATGTGCAAGCAATGCAAATTGGGATTTTTGACCCTCCTACACATTTATTAAGAAAACATTCTTTTCCCCTTTCCACTGAAGCATGACTTCAATTCTCTTATGGTACAGATTTTTTTTTCTATATTATTATTTTATGGGACAGTATCCAGCCCTTTATGACTTAAGTGCCAGAAGAATTGAAATCTAGCTTCTGTTCATATCGTATTACCGTTAACATGATTATAAAATTTAACAAAAGCATTACAAGAATACTACAAAGTAGGATGTGGCACTTTCCTCTCAACACATAAATCAAATGTAACCAACGTATTTCAAGATTTCAAGGAGCAGCAGAGGAATGACACAGTTAATGTTTTAAACTGTTCGTGCCATTTTGCACCAGATGGTTTTAGTGAAGCGCATGCTTTTATTTTCCTTATTCTTATACTTTTGGGGTGCCTTTTTTTTTTTTTCTTTTCCCTTGCTGTTCCCATCTCAGTCTCCAAATACAAAATAAATTCTCTCTTGATCTTCCTGACGCTCCGTAACTTTTCTCTTATTTTTTCGTGGATGCCACCTCTGATTTGAAGCAGTTTTACTTGTGTTCCTTAAAAGTGCTTTAAATGCTTAGAATGTCATGTTATTCTTCAGAAGTGTCCCTGTCATCTAATACCTCCCTTACTTCAAAAGCGTTCTCCATCAGTTAGAGATAAACCTGCACCAAAACAGCTACGACTCCAGATGAAACCAATTTACTAGACTCACACTATATAAGATTAACATTAATGCTCTAACAAAAAGTAGCTGGATCAAACTCAATTTTATATTTGTACTATGAGAAGCAAATCAAGTTTGAACACAGATTCTCGAGACATGCCACACTGGTTGGTTCTGGAGAATGGCACCTAGTACTCAGATCCAAACCAGGCACAGAGACTACACTTCTCCCTTGACACAGCTTCATTTAAGAGTGGAGCATCAATTCAGGCCATGAGCTACCAAGACGTATAGACATGAATTACCAAAACATACAGATGTGAGCTCAGTTTTAACTCAGTTTTATTCAGCTGTTGTATACCCTACTAACACTACCTATGAAGAATTTCAGATGCTTAAAGGTCAGGTTCATACCTGCTACATCCTCTTTCCTCCCTTGGGCTAATTTTAGCACTTATCTTGCCAGTGCCTGTGCACTAGCAAATGAAGTGAAACCATCAGCTGATGCTCTGAAGGCCTTTCCAGCTCCTGGATCAAACTAATTCCAGTAGCCACTGGCAAGGGTCTCCCTCTGAACCCCTGATCCAGAATTAGAAGATCTGTATTTCCCTTAAAGCTCCCTGTTTGGCATCAAGGTACTTTTTTCAATACTGAAAACACCACTTCTACTTTGCAAAGCTTTACCTTCTTGTATTGCGTTTGGAGGCACTGCTCAACTGAAGCACACTTTAGAAGTCTTTTTTTTTTTGTTATAGGGAGAGAAAGAAAGAAACTGTTTGTGAAAAAAATTACATTTGCAGTTTAAATACATTATCCCACTTTAATTTCAGAAAAGGGTCTTTCTTGGCAGTACCATACAGAAGTATTTGAAATGCATTAACACTTCGGCAGATGCTCAGAATCAAACAACTTAATAGGCATCAACTTTTTTTCAAATAATTGCAAAGCTTCAATTTAGCCTTTTGCATACCTTGCATAGTTAATTACCTAGGCTTTAATGTTTACATGCAATGAGAGTATCTACAGCTATAAACTACATAATTTATAATTGATGTAAATGGGTGTTATTATGTCAATTAGGCAGCTGTGTCCTCCACCTTCTCAGTAAACAGAAATGAGTGATAAACTGAGTTTGCCGGGAGAGCCCCTCTTTTCTTCCTAACAGATAAAAATAAATTACCTAGGTAGACCAGGTTGTCCAATTGTTCTCTGGTGAGGTGGATGTTATATGTGGGCCCTCTCTTTTGACCTGTTGACTGCAGCAAATGGTCAATCTCGTCACGCACCGCTGCAAGAGCTTCTGGGTGCCGCAGAAGATAATACATGGCCCAGAATGTAGCTGGAATCGTGTTTCCCACAGAGGCCCACAGGAAGGCAAAATGATGTGCTGGGAGAAAATAAGTGAAAAGGAAGATTAATAGCGTTTATTACACTGATTAGATTTGCAGTGTGCTAATTAAAAGATGTTAGGACACAGACCTAGCCAAGGATCAGTGAATGCTAATGAGGACCAATAGGCTTCTGAAGTCTAATTTTCTGCTTAATGAGAATAGTTTGAAATGTAATGTCGGGGGGGGGGGGGGAGAGGAAATGCAGCTCAGTTATAATCTTTCTCATTATCACCATTAAGTATCTTGTTTTACCACCTCAGCACAAAAAAAAAATCAATTATCATAGAGGGTTGTTTCAGAGTAAAACATTTTATCATTAGCCAATTAGAAAGAACATAAAAAAATTTCAAGGTCGCCATTTTGCCTTTTTATTTCAAAGGTCTATAGTAAATTATTTTATTTTAGACAAGCAATCATTCATAAGTTTCCTACCTGCTTTGTCATAATCTCCAAGCAGCTCATATTTCTCAAATATATCTTGTCTGGCTTGGACCACTTTTGACCCTCCCAGCCATTTTGTCATGTTCTGAAGTAAAAAATGATGTATAAGCTCCTTCCGAACCTTCTTGGTAGCTCCTAGCAACTCAATTGGTATGTTTGCAGCTAAATAGGGAAAGCTGGCATCAAACTTGATAAATTTGTCTCTGATTTCACTAATAACTTTGTGGCCATCTGCAGCAGGAACTCTTCCATATAGTGTTACAAAACTGGCTTCAAACATTACAGAGCAGCAGAATTTGTACATTTTTTCTGTTTCCCAATCTGTTGCTTGCGAGCATTTCCATTCAAATATATCCTGGAGATTTTTCATCATGTGGTCAGAAATGATATCCAAAGGCTTGCCTTGTAAATACTGGTAGATTCTGTGCAGGTTTTCCTTGAGATCGGGGAACTTTCCTTTTGACAAGGCTGGGTAGTCAAAAGTTTTGGAAGCCATTTTATCAGCAAATTCATGAAATTCAAGTTGCTTGCTATTTCGAATGACATAGACATATTGAAATGGGTCCATGATAAAGGTAATATATCTACCTGAATAGAAGAAAAGAAAAAAATAGAGATGTGCACTTTTATAATCTGGTGACACTTTCAGAAGTAATAACTGAAAATAAGGCAATGTCTGTGAAAAAAAGCACAAAGAAAATCCCCAAAGCAAAGATCTGTGAAGAAATCTTCAAAGCAGAAAAAAAAAGGAAAAGAAAAAAGGAAGATGTAGCAAGTTTTATTTCAAGTTTTATTTAGATTCTCTTTGTCAAGATGCAGATTCCACCTGTGTACACTTTTATGGCTCTTCTATAATCAACGTGAAGCCATTTCCATGTAGACTGATCAACTGGTTTTGCTAACAGTAGGGGTGTGATCTCTCCAGTTGTGCCACTCTGAAATAAATAATTTACTACTCTGGTATAATTCATGGAAATACGATGTGGACTCATAGCAGCATTTGAAAGTTGTAGTTTTTACCAGCAGGAAGGGAGAAACACACACATTTCACCTGCACCACAGTGGAAAGTGAGTGACAGGGGCTGGAAAACATGCCACCTAGGCAGCTTTTCTTCAAGCAGATGACACAGGCACTCAAAATCTGCTGCTTACGGATTTAACTGCAGGCTGGAAACCTCCAACATTTAAAGCCCCTCTCACATCTGTTCTTTGCCTGAAGTTTTGCTTTTTATTAAGAATGTGCTTAGCATCTGTAAAAAGACTACCTCAAGATTTGCTTTTGAAGCCACAGGTTACAACGGAGTGGTACCATTTTTAAGATGGGTGTCATCTTGGGGTACACACTGTCCCAGCACTATGATGCACTGTGCCAGAGTGCACCCACAACTTCCTACCCTTCCTGAGGTACGTAATGTGGTGACACAGCCGTACCTTCAGCTGCTCGTACACAGGAACAGGACGGCATCAAGTCTGATGCTTTTTCCAAGTTGCCCATGTCAGAAAAAACCTGCAATTTCTCCCTAAGCTTTAAGTCAACTACCAAAGAAGGGCATTCTGGTGAACTATCATGAATCAAAATGCTAACGCTCCCAAAGCTCAATTAAATCTTAACTCTTTATAGCTGATTCCCATGTTAAGTCTTAATTTAGAGTTTCTGATTCTTAACTTGAACAGAGAGGTGCATTAGGGAAAAAGGCTACCCATTAAAATGTACACATCATGTGTGAAATATCCTAGTTATAAACTCAGGAAAATAGCAGAGCTTCCAGCCCTTACAGTCTAATTCTGTCTTACTAAAGGGACGAATCTCCTTTGATTTTAATGGGAACACTACATGCTTAACTGAGGACCAAATTTGGCTCTGTGACAGATGTCCTGAGATAAAGTAGTCACTACCACTAAAAATGTCAACAAGTATCCATGGTTACCATATAGTGATATTTGAATTATCATAGTCATTTTGTATCCTGACTTGTGTATACACACAGTGCTCTACAGTAAGTCTGGGTGTGCTCTGGACTTCCTCTGCAATTATCAGCTGCCATAATTTCCCCCCTGATTACATCCATTGCAATCCCAGTGAACCAGTAAGGAAATGCAAGGGATATATTGAGACAGACTTTGACCCCCTTTTTGGTCCACAGTGTGTGAAGGTTTTTAAGGTACTTGTAGAGTTTGCTTTATTGTAACATAATCAATCATAGATATAATTTTTAAAGAATAAATATATTGAGAAATCAGCATGGAAAAGAGATCGTGAATTCCCAGTTCTTTTTTTCTGGTAATTTTTTCCTTCCCAGATCACAGAGGCTGACAGGAATTTTTAGTCCCGACTTCTGCAGGATCTTTGTTAGAAGTCCTAGAATTGCTCTCTCTTTCCAGATTTCACCTATTGTCATGCTCTTTATTGAGGCTACCATCTTTGCAATCAAAGCTTGGAAAGAATGCCCATTGGAGCAATTTTTAATAAATAGATTTGGAGTGTTATTAACCCTAAAGATGAAAGCTGGCTTCCTAACTTTGCGTTTACAGGGTAAACAATTTAAGTTAAGATTTTTAATTAATATTAATTTAAACCATCTGTCCACCATCTGCTTATTTCTGATGCAAAATATGAGTTTCTTTGTGATCTTTAATCAGACACTTAGCAAACGCACATCAATTCTTATCATTTTTAAGTCAGAAAATTATTTTCAGCAAATGAGTTTTCAGACAAACAAACAATTTTAGCAATAATTTTAAATCAAAACTCACTCAACAGTAGCACATACTTTGGAAAAAAAAAAAGATCTCTGAGAAACAGAGTATCACAGATCCAGATTTTTATTATTCTCATCAGGTTCCTGGTAGCAAAAAGTAAGTGTGTACCAAAATATAATTCATTTTGTAGAATCAGTTCAGGCTCCAGACCATATCACTGCAAGTCAACAATATATATAAACAAATAAAGTAAAATACTTTTGTTACTGCATTTAGTAAAGGTCTGTATAGTCAGAAAAGTGGAGCCCCTCGATAACAAAGGCAGCTTGTTTACATACCTCGCTGAGAATCTAATTTTAGATCTTTTAATTAGAAAAAGACTAAAATCTAGAGCTAATTAACTGCAGTTAGTAAGTTGTTGTGAGAGTGGGTATGGGAGCCTTAAGCAATTACAGTCATACTTGCACACAGATGCACTATGCAGCTACACCAGTTACCCCAGTCTCTTCCATACAGGAACAGATTGCTAATTACAAAACTATGCCCCAATACCTCCTCTACCCCAAGCAGCAAACATCCGAACGGGAACAAACTTTCTCACCTCAAGTTATGATTTAAAATTTTGTGAGTGTCAACATGGTCTTTAATAATTTTACCTTTTAAATCCTGTTGTCCCTGATGAGGTCTCTTCCCGCTTATTGTCCCTGGTGGTGTCAGAGACCAACAAATGCAAATCTCTTCTAGAGTTTCCAGTTATTACTTGGTATTTTAAAATGAAGGTTCCCCCCTCCCCTCCCATGCCTTTCCATTGTAGCTAATGTCAACAACTATCTCTTGAAAGTAGCCTTTTCTGAAACTGAACCCAAATCTTCATGCTCACCAGTTTCCATCAGAGTACTGGTAAAGGTAAATGCCACATCAGCCAAAAGTGGAGGCATATCACATGCTCCACAAATCAGGAAGCCTTAAATATTGAAGTTATTTATATAGAAACTGCTGGGAACTGAGCCTTTCCTTAGATTATAAAAAAAATCCTTCAACACAGAAAACTCAGTAGACATGTCCATACAGAAATGTCACACTCCAAATCCCAGCAGTTTAAGTCACAGCTATTTTATTTAGTACCATATAAACAAGTCAAAATAAGAGATGTATCCTTGTTTCTTTAAAAAAGCCCTCTTGATTTTTTTTAAAAATATGGCTACAGAGAATTCATATTTCCCCATCCAATCCTTCAGTCTGCATTACATCCATGCTGCAAATAGCCTGGTTATCTCCATTTAGTTTCTACAGTTTCCTAGAAATAGAAGATTGATGTGGAAAATATGAAAATTGTCAACTTTGGTAAATCTGAGCACACAAGCCAGTATTTGTATGATAGTTAAGAAATTACTCTAATAATGCATTCTGGAGATTTTTAATGCTAATGATGAAAGACAAGCATTTCAGACGGCATTTAATGACGGATGTGATTTCAGTAATGCTTACAGCAGGCTTCAGCTTGGTAAGGAGTTAATGTAAATTACCTTTTGCCTAAAAGAGAAAAATGTGATATGTTACTGTAGGTGCATCATGATTTAAAAGAAAAGAATGACTTTGCAGCAGTATTCAAAAAGACAACTGTGCTTAGTAAAAAACACCAAGATTGTTCCATTAAAGTTGAGTTAGTCTCAGAGAGAGTGTTGTAAGATTCAGTATTGTTCCTAATAACTTCTCAGGAAAAGGAGACAAAGTTTAATCCTGTGAAACAATGACAAAACTGTTTCAAGCTCTTTTACATTCTTTCCTAGCTATCTGACTATGCTGCTGACAACGAGAAGAGAGGTTGGCTTGGGAAGTATGATCATCTCAAGAACACAGACTCTCTCTCTCCTTCCCTTCCTTATTCTTTTCTTTTCTCTCCCCCCCCCCCCCC